GGCGAGCCAGGACGAGGATCACCAATCCGTCCCGCCATCCTCTCCGAAACCGGACGACGGCGCGTGTCACCTAGCCTATTGAAGGCAGAGGCTTTTCCACGCGCTGGGGTCTGCCCGGGCCGAAGAGGGGAAGCAGGGTGGGAGTGGGACGACGCCGTGTCCTGGGGCACCACCCCCTCATCGTTGCCTATCTGGACGGCCAACGGTTGGTGCTGAGGAGGTTGAGTGACGTTCCCCCCGGTCCTTGGCAAGAGTGCGCTGAGGACGGTGGGGTTCTGAGCTAGGCTGGCGATGATGGCCGACAGCGCGGCCTGGACCTGTGGATCTACGGACGGAGAGGCCGCGGCCATAGGCTGGGCCGGGGCGTGATCCGTCTTTTCAGTTCGCTTCTTGTCCAAGCCGAGGCGGGCATCAGGGGCGCCGCCGTTGAGTTGGTTGCGGAGGTCCGTTGTGAGGTTGAAGGCCTCCTGGAAGAGATCCCCTCCGCCGGCCTGGTCGGCCGTGGCGTCCTCATCGTGCTCCCTGGGATCTTGGTCCTCAGGGATGGCTTTGCTGACGAGGTTGCGGTTTGACTTAGTTCTCCCCATGATCAGTGGTTAGCTGTGCTTGGTAGCGACGAAGGGTGCTAACTTGATTGTTCTAGCTCTCAACGAGAGCACCAAATGATAGAGTATATCTAGAGAGAAGTGAGAGCTAGAGAGAGAAGTGCAATAATATGCTTCAATAGAATGATTTTGTAACCCCTATAACTACTCCCAAGGGGAGTATTTATAGAGAAAATTAGGGTTGGGCTCCCAAGTCTTGGGCTTGGGAGGCCTATTTACAATTGGACCGCTACTGGGCCGTATACAAAGCCACTAATGGGCTGTATAAATGAATAAGTATAAAATCCGATTCTGTGAGGTCTTCGTGGTCGACGAGGGCACCCGGGCTCCTTGGGCTCAGGACCATAATCCGAGTTGGCCCCTTTTCGGCCGACGGGGGTGTCTTGGCCGACGAGGGCGCCACTCTGTCTTGTGTTTTCTATTCTTCCGAGTATGTGGGTCCGGGGGCTCAGACCCATATACTCCATCAGGAGGATTCGGCGTTGCATCTGAGCGTCAAAAGCTAAGGAAGAGCTTTTTTTAAAACATTGCGGAAGCTTGCTATAGTTTTCTTGTGCGGAAGAACATGGAAGGTCTGCAAAATTGGAGAGTAGGAAAGGGTAAGACGGAGATTAATTGCGTAAGAGAATCGTTGATCATGAAATGCTCAGCTTTGCAGCGTTTTATTTTTCAAGGGTTGGGATGAAATCGCCTTAGAAACACTCCATCCGTCAAACAACTAATATTAGCATATTAGCGTTTTGACCAATTCAAAACGCTGTTTTTTGTCAAATCAGCCAATTTTTGGTTGAAACTCCATTTACCAAACAAGGTCAAAAAAGGAATAATATACGCAGTAACACGAAATTATTTTGTTGCCTGATCTCTTTGATACTATGTGTCTCTCATTAAAGTTGTGTTTAAACGATTGGCAATTATTGGATTCACGGATTAAAAATACGATGTACATACTTAGTCAAATTTTGTATTCACTTAACTACTCAATTTATACCTCCAAATTCCAACAATGGGGTCGGGTTAAGTTTTTTAATTTTTAATGTATTTCATTTTCTTTGTGTGTGCACTGTAACTCATCTACTTTAGTATTAATAATAAAGTAGAACTATATCAATTGAAATTGATTTTCACTTAAATTCCAATCGAGTCCAATCAATAGAATTGATAATTTTTGGATTTTGTTTATAATTTAATAACAACTCTATGTCAACGCAGGCAGAGAACATAATATAGAGGACTCCAAGAATAAATGTCTCGCAGATGTTGAAAGAATATTACAAAGGAACTGAAAGAGTCTTACAAATTTTGAAGGTATGTCAAAAGCGGATGCAACATATGTAAGTTATAATGAAAATGCACTTATAAATGAAGATATGGAGTATGACGGAGAAGACTTGGCAAGACAGCTATCACATCTCATTGACTAGTTAACTGATGAGCGAAAGAGTATTTATAAGGACATCTTAATGCTGTGCATGGAAACACCAGAGGCAAATCTAATTTTTTATTTTCAAACCGTGTGCTAGTATGGACATTGTTAAATTGAAAGCAAATATATAAATTTTAATATATTTACAATAAAATGTTGTCACGTAGTGAATCATAGTTCCTCTTTTAATTTATATAGGGTTTTTCTTTGTTTACGGATACGGTGGAAATGAAAAAACGTTTATATGGAATACTGTGGCAACGTCTATTAGGAGTGAAGGAAACATTGATCTTGCAGTTGTGTCAAGTGGAATAGCGTTGTTACTGTTGCCTGGAGGTAGGACATCACATTCCAGATTTTCTATCACACTTAACACCTCTAAAAACTCTAGTTGTAATATTAATCAAGGAAGTCTAAAGGCAAAGGTCCTCCAATCCACATCCCTAATTATATGGGACTAGTGTCAATGGTACATGTACATTGTTTTGAGGCTTTAGATAAGACTTTGAAAGATATCATGAGCTCGAGTGATCCAGATATGAAAATTGGCCGTTCGGAGGGAAGGTTGTTGTTCTTAGGGGAGACTTTCGTAAAATTTTGCTAGTCATTCCAAAGGGGGGAAGAGATGAATATGACATTACTTTCAACTCCCCTAATGAAAAGAGTGACATTGAAAAGTTTGGTACATGGATTTTAAAGGTTGAGGACGGTGATATTGGAACACAAGTAGATGAAGTTTCAGAATTGGAAATCCCGGATGAATTTCTTATCAAGACGGAAGATAACTACCTAGCAGATATCGCTAATAGCACTTATCCTAACCTACAAGAACGCTTTAACGATCCAACTTACTTGCAGGAAAGAGCGATACTTGCACCTACTTTATACGTGGTTCACCAAATAAATGACTACATGCTATCTTTGGTTCCTGGTGAGTGGTGACCAAGTCACGTACCTCAACTCAGATAACATTATTAGTTCAGATATTGGTTTGTGTCGTGAGAGTGAGATGTATGCACTAGATTTTATTTAATAGTCTCTTCATATCGGGACTGCTTGATCACGAATTGCATCTAAAGGTTGGTGCTCTCATGATGCTTTTGAGAAATATAGACCAGCCCGGGATTAATGAAACCATGTCGATTCTCACTAAGCTCAGAAAACATGTGCTAAAGGCAAAGATCGTTGCTGGAAGAAATATTGGGACCACGGTTCACATCCCCAGAGTGCTACTATCTCCATCTGATATAATACTACCTTTTAGTTTTCCGAGGAAGCAATTCTTGGTTATGATAAGCTTTGCGATGAACATCAATAAGAGCCAAAGTTAGTCTTTATCTCAGATCAGACTATATTTTCAGAAAAATGTCTTCATTCACTAGGGGGTGGGCATAAAACCCGAACCGAACCGGTAGCGAACCGTTCCGTAATGGTACCGAACCGAATACCGGGTATTTAAATGGTTCTATAGATTTTTATCCCGTACCGAAACCATACCGTTTGAAACGGGTACGAGACCGGTCCTATATTTTGAGAACCGAAAAATACCGAACCGAACCGTTCGAAAATAATGCATTTGAATTTTTTATATTTTTTCTATACCAATAGATCTCTTTTATAGACCAACAATTTTATAGCCCAAGTATGTATATATTCATGTGTCCCTAAGATATCTAAATGTGTGTTTATATATATATATATATATATTGTTATTTTTTCTTTTTAGATGATTTATGTTATATTTTGGTATGTATTGAAAGAATATTAAAATTTTAGAAATCATTAATGACTATTCATTTCTAGTAATGTAGTGTACATGACTTTTTGTTGTATCATGTTTGTGCAATTTTTACAACTTAATTAATATGGTTTAAATATTAGCTTTCAAGGTTCAACTATAAATTAAGTGAGAACTACGAAGTAATATTTAACCTAGAACGAAGTAGAAGAACATTGAAGATTTCTATTATATTCAACAATTTGATAATATTCGTTTTTATATTTTCACATGAACTTAGTAAATTAAAGATGATATTTATCCTGCGTGTCATCGTTTTGCTATACCTTTTCTTAGGTGTGTTGCACTATTTGTGTATTTGTGAATTTTAGTACTACGTATGCAATTTCTTATATTTATATCGACATTTCACGTGACTTGGTTGCTGTGATGATATCTACTAATTGCAAAATTTGTTCAAATTTTTTAGCATGGTTTTGGCATTGTACCGTACCGTTTTGTACCGTTCCGAAACGACATGGTACCGAACGGTTTTATCGTTGGAACCAGACCGTACCGGACTGTTAAAAACCTCACGGATACATTGCGGATTTTACCAATTTACCGGACCGTTCCGGACCGCGCCCACCCCTATCACTCACAACAAATTATATGTTGCCATATCAAGAGTCAAGAGCAAAGAAGGATCGAAGATCTTGATTCGCTTTAAAGATCGGGGATTTTCCTCCACGACCATAAATGTCGTTTGTCTATAAAGAGGTTTTCCAGAATTTGGAAACATAACCTTTCAATATTTTATGCCATTTAACTATTCTAATGTACGGAGTATTACACATCTCAACTTCTTTATTATTATTATATACTCCGTATTATATAATAATATTATATCAATCTAATACATATTTCAATGCTTTAGACAATGAGAATTACAAGGTTCATACGAAACATATATTTCACATATACACAAAATTAGAGAAAAGGGTCATATAAGGCCTTCTACTATTCTCAAATCGTCACATAAGGCCTTCTACTCATAAAAGTGTCACCAACATATATTTACTTTTAAAAAACGACCATATGAGGCATAATGACTGGTTAAAAACCCTCTGATCCCGGTTTCCGCTTACCTGGCACTCATTTTAGCAAATCTTTAATTTTTATTCCACGTCAGCTCCTTATCGTCAATTTTAAAAGGCCACCCACCCACGCTTTTGAGAAGACGCCAGTTCCTTATCGTCAATCTTTGACCAGAAGCTTTCTTCTCAACGAACGTTGGTCTCCCAGAAAAAGCTAGGGTTCATTGCTAAGCTCTGCTCAAGTTCTCCAGGATCGAAATGTCTTCAAGTTCGTTCACCTCGAATTCAAGGATGGGTTCAAACCTCTACTACGAACCTGCTGTGTATTGTAATTGTGGATTAAAAGCACCTTTGTGTGTGGGAAGGGAAAGTGGCCGGAAGTTCTATGGGTGTCAACGATGGAAAGTAAGTTATTGTTAACCAGTTGTATGAAAGTGTTTTTCGTTTTGGAGGATTTACCTTGAAAATAAAGATTTTCTAAAAGTCTAATCTTAGGGGTATTTCATTTGGCAGATTTTTGTGGGAACTGGTTGTTTTCTGAACATTTCCTATTTGGGGGATGATCTACGAAGCATTGTACTGATTTTTTGGTTTTATACATAGACACAAGGAGGAGGATGCAAGTTCTTTGCTTGGAAAGAAGAGAGTAATGCTAAATGGGAAAGTTCAGAATTGAGCTGGGAGGAGGGCAGAAAGCTACTTTATCAGTTAAGAGATGAAAATATGAGTGTTCGTCATGAAGTGAGTGAGTTACGAGCTGCACTGCAATCCGAAATTCAAGAAAGGAGGAATTGTATAATGTTGATTACAATTATAATTGTATTTGTTGTGGTAGCAATGACAATGATGATCTGTGTATTAAAGTAGAATTTGTAAAGAATTTTTATGTAGTTCTTGCAATGGCTATGAAGTAACATTGTATAACAATGTAATTTGTAATTTGAATTTCTAAAAGTCAAGGGTTATATATTTAACTTTTTTGTTATGATTTCTTTACATACATGTATATGATATGTGCCTTAAGGGAATCATGTAAATATTGCAGCTAGTTGCTTATGTGTACATATATATGTTATGATTGCAGAGGTAGTTGCTTATGTGTTGCTATCTAGAGTAAATATTGCAGCCAGTTTTACAAAACCACAAGTTCTAAGAACATAACCAGGATCAGCCATAAATATCATGGCTCTAGAATCATGTTCTCATCTGGTATTACTGCTCAACACATGTTTATGTGCAGAATGTAAGGCCAAGAAGTAATGGCCTCATTTGGGGACACATTCTCCTGCTTTTGAAATGCAAGTATAATGTTAATGCCAAAATGAGTTTTAGATTAACATGTTTGGACTGAAATCAGTGACCATTACGCATTGTGCATAGTACAAATTCTTAGACAGAAAATAACAAACACAAGTACACCACTAACATAGCAAAAATCAGAAAAGGCAGAGTCATTGCCTGACAAAAACAAGTACATTAATGTCCTGTGACATATATTACTACTAAACACAACTAAAGGGCTGCACTAGATGGTCCTACATCAGGTGGGGTCTTTGGTGCTTTAGTTTCAGTTCTTCGTTTCTTTTTCAGATTGGCAGATGCTTCTTTGACGGTCCTTGTTGTCTTTGCAGGTTCTGTGGATGTCTCATGTGTATCTGAGGTCTTATTAGGGCATTTTGCTTTGTTATGTCCTGCTTGTTTACATATCGAACAACTCATGACTCTTCCTTTTCTTGAGATCGTTGTCCTTCCTTTTTGAGACCCTAATCCTTCGCTTGGTTCCCGTTTTCTCTTTCTCTTGGGTCTGCCAGACATCTTTTTGGGAATCGGAGGTGCGATATCATTATTTTGTGTCCTAGCCCACAACAACTCCCCGTTCATTGGTTGAAGATGATAAGAATATATTCTCTGGTACACCTCCTTTGAATAGAAAGGGTCGACATAATCCTCCGAATCCCCACCTTTGTCGAAAATTGCACACACAGCGTGTGGGCAAGGAATTCCACTCAATTCCCAAGCTCTACATGAGCAGCTTCTTGCTTCTAGCCTGACTTGATACTGATGGCTCCCACGTTTAACCTCATACCCATCATCACCATTAAAAATGACTTGTTATGAAACATCATCCATTAATAACATATTAAATATATATGATACACCAACTGAATTCACACACTAACCTTCCAGCCCATGCTTTGATATGTGTTGGCATTTAACTTTTTCAATATTCTAGGTCCATGCCTGGAAGCCCATCCGCTCACAAACTTCACCTTTTTAGCAATCCGCTTCATTGTGGCAGTTCGAATGTCTTCTAACATAGGAATTATTGGCTTGCACCTAGCTTTTCTGATTGTGTTATTAAAAGCTTCAGACAGGTTGTTGTCTAGGATATCACATTTGACTTCAGTTCTGAAATACGCTTTGCACCACTGATGAGGGTCATAGAGTTCTAAATCACACTTTGCTGTAGCATCAACTTTCAACAACGCTTTCATTTGTTCTTCAAAATGAGCTTGAGTTGTGCTTCTCGCACAAAACCAAAAATGTTTTTTCAGCACTTTTCCCCTATGCTTCTTACTCCAATTTGCATGTATATGCCTACAACAATTTCTATGCTCAGAATTTGGAAAGACTTCCTTTATGACCTTCACTAAGCCCTGCAAACTATTTGTAAAGATGAGTAATCAATTACAGAGTGCTTTCCACATAGTATATAAATGCAGACCTAATTTTATAGTAAAATTACAGTTAAATTGACAGTACAAACTTACAGAGTGTACATTTCATTGATAAAGTTATACCTAAAACTATAAACAGTAACTATAAACTAAAACTTAGTAAATTATAAAGTTAGTCCATACCTTCTGCTGATCACTCATCAGTCCAATGATATGTATTGTTGATGTCAATATCTTCTTTCAGCAACTCTAGAAACCACTTCCACGAATCAGTGTTTTCGATCTCCACAACGGCCCATGCTATAGGGTACATTTCATTATTAGCATCCCTACCCACAGCACTTAATATTTCACCTTTGAGCATCCCTTTAAGAAAACTTCCATCTAAGCCAATGATTTGGCGACAACCTGATAAAACCCCCCTTTTTAAAGCTCCAAAACAAACATACATTCGTTGAAAAACCTCAGGACCATCTTCTGTCACCCTCTGTGTTTTAACAATGATGGTGCTCCCTGGATTGGACCTCAAACATTCAGCTCCATAGTCTCTGAGTCTTCTAAACTGATCCCCAAATGATGCATTAGCTTTTTTAATACCCTGGCAATGACTCTTTTGACCTTCGTAATATTCACACTTATTTTCAGGTCATTCCGTATGTCCTTTTGCAATTGAACTTGGCGTATGCATGGGTTTTCTCTAATTTTATTCTCGTACTTTTCTTCAAGCCATGCTTGACTTACTATCTTCAACTTGAATTTATCATTGCATCTGTGTGTACCCACCCATGTCTTTATCTGGAAGCAGTGGTACTGCTTTGCCCATGAAGCAGTGCATCTAAAAGGGCAATTCACATAACATGCCACTTCAACTCTCATGGGTCCATTCCTTACCCATCTAAGATCCCGCTTAAAATGAACTGCATAGTTTATTATAGCAGTTTTGAACTCCCTTGCATCTTCAAACAACATTTCCAATTCAAGCTCTTTGGAATCTGAATTTCGATTGTATGATGGAGCTCTAAACTTCTTCTTCACTTTTGAATCCACCGGATGACCCTCTTCATTTTCAGACTCTGAGTGCAAACTAGGGGGGTCTTCGGAGTCATAATACTCACTACATTCTTCCTCACCGTCAAACTCAGACTCTGAACTAGTGTGAGTACCCTTTTTGTTTACCCAATCATTTTGAGCCTTTTTTAATTGCTCATCGTTGTCATCGTTTAAATCTTCCTCACCCTCAAACGAAGCATGATCATCACGAGATCGTATGTCTTCTTCATTCTCTTCACACTCCCCATTTGGTGCTACCTCACCATCTTTTTGTTCTTCATGCGTGTCTTCAAACTCACTGTGATCCTGTGCCTCAACTCTCGATGAAGTATCATTTCCCTCCACAGTTAATGATGAAGGCAACCCTAAGTGGTCAACGAGTTCAGGTTCATCAATCCCGTGCTCCACATACACTTCTACTACACCGTAAATAAATGCCATCTCAATTAGCTGTAGAGTAGTAGCATCATCGCATAATGGCCTTAACCTGTCTAGACTCTCGTCGGGCAATTTAAATGACAATGAATCCACTTTTTTATACATATCCTCTGTGATGTACTTCATCAAGTGAGGGTATGAAATTCTACCTGGATCTAAAACAATAGTCTCAACATCACCATTTACATATGCAAGATTTGGTATTCTCTTGAAATTTCCTCCATGGTAGATTTTCAACTCAGCTTCTAAAAACATTCTGAAAATAAGAACATTGACAGATTGAGTAACTTCTCAAATAAGAACATTGACTCAAATAGATAACTTCTCAAATAGTTATTTGTAAGAAACTCCATACTTGCAATTTTTTGAGTAACTACACAACTGTTATTTCAAGATTGGTAGAGTAACTATTCAAATAGCTAACACAAAACAAAGAGACTCCAAAAAAAATTCCAAAATTTGTAAGAAACTTCATACATGCAAGAAAGAACATATACGAATTGAATGATCCTTTTATAACTTAGAGGTAAAAACAGGGTAATGAAATTTAGGACTTGAGATGAGAATTCTTTAGATACTTTAGTAGATTTCACGTTCACAATTTCACCTAAACTATACAAATTTCAATTAATTTTCAAAAACATTCTTAAATAGACTTAAACAAATCAGTGAAATTGAACATAAAAAACTGACTTACTTTCCTTTCCCAAAGCAACCTGTAAATGCAAATGAACGAACCCAGTCACAACCCAAGCAGCGAAACAAAGACCTCACTCTCAATCATCGTCCCTAATCGCAGAATCCATCTTTCTCCAAAACCCTAGTCGCAGTAAGATCGGATGAGCGATCCTCTTATTTTCTTTTACCCGGTATGTCGAGATATGTCTAACTTATGCTGAGTATTCAGACACGGTGCAACTGACGTGGAATAAAAATCAAAGATTTGCTAAAATGAGTGCCAGGTAAGCGGAAACCGGGATCAGAGGGTTTTTAACCGGTCATTATGCCTCATATGGTCGTTTTTTAAAAGTAAATATATGTTGGTGACACTTTTATGAGTAGAAGGCCTTATGTGACGATTTGAGAATAGTAGAAGGCCTTATATGACCCTTTTCTCCACAAAATTATAAACTAAATACTCCCTCCGCCCCTTAAAACTTTACCAACTTTCTTTTTTTGGATGTCACACTAACTTTGACACTTTCCCTTTTAAGTAAAAAATTTGTGGTTCCAATTAATTCTCTCTCCTCTGCACAAAAATCTACCACACTTATTTTACTTTATTAATCCTCGTGCCGGTTAAACTTGTCAAAGTTTTAAGGGACAAAGGTAGTATTACATATGGGAGTTGCACCCGGGTCAATGCACAAGTACACTGTTTGACACTTTGTGCCACTGTTTTGCACTATTTTTATGTAGATAATTTGCCAAATAAAGAAAGGAGAAAAATATGAAGTTTATTTAAGAACTAATAAAAATAAAAATGTGAATTTCATTTGGGACATGAGTGAGTATTATTCTGATATGTGATTATAAAAGATCAGTAACACTCACGTAACAAAAGTGTTGCAAAATGAGCGCCCACCCGTTTCTGAAAACCCCCAAGGTGGAGTCGGATGCGAAGCACGACGAAAGCATCGGCGGGGAAGCCCACTATGACGGCGGTGATGCCCAGACATCCGATACAGAACTTCAGCCGAGGAGCGAGCAAGAAGAAGCCTTAGTCGCTCTCATTGAACACCGCACCAAGGAGGTTATTCATCTCCGACAGCGCATCTCGTATTATAAATCCCAGGTATTTATTTATTTATTTATTTATTCATTTATTTTCATATCATGGATGATTAGAGTATGACATTACCCAATTGCTTGAAGTTAACCCGCAACAATACTGTTTTTAAGAAGTTAAAGGAACTAACACAAATAATTGATCAAGAAACGGAGGAGGTTGTGAAACATGGAACTGAACTTGAAAGTGGTTGAATTGAAAGAAACTGAATCGAAGAACTGTAGGGAGAAGACAAAAGTTTAGTTATGGGGTGATATGGAGTAGGCTACTTGGCTCCCAACTATTTGCCGGCTGGCAAGTGGCAATACAAAATCACCAAGAATGAACTTGCTTCTTGATGAGTAGAACGTCTTGAGAATAGGGATCTACCGGGCTGAAGTATTCCCTGCTCTGGGTTAGCTAAAGATTTGGCCCTTTTGGTCTCAGCAAATAAATCCTTGTACTCCAACTGTCCAACATTAAGGTATTCAATGCTCCTTGTAGGGGTCTTTGGTGTGAAGTAGTGCTACTAGAGGTAAAGACACATGGTTTTCCCATGCCTTATAACGCCTTGCTCCCCGGTTTTCGTGGGCAAATCCCGTAATGGTGATGCCAGATTCATCAACCACTCCACTCCCAATTGGAATCAAACTCATCCAACGTATGGTGTAAATTCATGTTCTATTAAATACTCACTGTGAACAAGTTCTGAGACAGTGTGACCTATGTACATATGCTCCTTTATTGCGTGATTGGGAGAAGAATGAAAACTGTGCGGATAAAGAACAAACCACATTTCGCCGAATAGGAGTCCCGTCACATATTTATTTTCTAAGTTATTACTCCCTCTACAAACCATGTTTCGCCGAATAGGAGTCCCGTCACACATATTTATTTTCTAAGTTAGTACTCCCTCTCTCCCAATTTGATGGTACCATTTCTTTTGGGCACAAAGATTAAGGAGGAGTATGAAAAACCCAAAATGGCCCTTATTTCTTTTCATTTTCCTTTCGTCCCATGACTCCCCTGCCTCTTTCTTTTCCATTTCCCTTCATCCCTCTTCTTCTCAACTAGGACTCCCGAATTGAAAAAATCTGATATATTCGCCGAATTGACCTCTATTTTACAAAGCAAAAATAAGAGGGGGGGACAGGCAGATTACAAAGGGATTGCAAAGTTTCATCAATTGAGACTTCTAAATCTGCATAGTAAACCAATTCGACTTCTTTGTAGGTGTTTATGCTTCACATGTTTTTTTCATGCCCTTCTCCGCGCATCCTTACCGGTAGGTGTATCCACCGCATCGGACAAAAGAGGTAAAAAAATGTGAAATTGTATCAGAGAATTAGGTCGCTGTAGTTCAATTCTATCATTCACAAACCCACAAAAATGATAGTTCTCGTTTTCGCCGCTGCATCCCTAGCATCTTGCAAAGATATTCTGAGAAGAAGCTTGAGGACGGAGATTAGCGATTTGGAAGAGGCAGAGCGATACAAACAGGAGACCAACGTTTTTGAGAAGGGGGGATACAAACATATAATTGTACAAGAAAATGGGGAGAAGAAAATGGTGGTAAAGGTAAATTAGATATAATAAGAAGGTTAAAATTGAATTTGCACGCCATTTTTTCTAAAAAGGGAAATGGGACTATCATTTTGGGACATCCCTAAAAGGAAATATAGTACCATCAAATTGGGACGGAGGGAGTGATGAATAAGAACTATTCATATTACTCCTATGAGTTTGTAACTCTGTATGAGTTAGTACAGATTCAATCTATAACAATATTAAGTATAAACTTTACTAAAATAGAATACTAATCCCATTAGAAAATTATTACCAAGTACTACCTCCGTCCCATACAAAGGTTCCCGTCCACTATTCCCCGGTCAACGTAAATTCTTATTAATTTTTCACTTTATATATCCAACTTTTATCAAATTTGAGTTTTTCTTGTGACTTTGTAAATTTTTTCACAAAAATCTAATTATGCACAAGGATCAGCTTACTTTGTAAACAGTCAAACATCGAAAACCGTGTGGGAACCTCTCTATGGGCCGGAGGGAGTATCTATTACTGATAGGAAACTGATACTCCCTATGTCCCAGAATAAACTTCCTGTTTTCATTTTTTGGACCATCCCAATGTAAACTTCATGTGTGCTTTTCCCAATACGGGGGGTTCTTATCATTTCAATCTTTTCTACTCAAATCTAACCACATCTTTTCCTTTTCAACCACTTTATTAATAAGCATACCAAATTCATCCACTTATTCTTTAGATCGTCATCCTGATTTAGGATCTTCTGTTCTTTATCCTTGTAGTATTTAGTCATTTCAATGTCTCTAGTCGCCTTTTCAATCCTCTGAGGCTGCGAGCTATTTCATAAAGTTATAAATATCTTCCTTTTTTGAGTCCAGTTGTCATAAATCAGTTTCTATTTAGCAATTTTAGACTTCCTCTGTTTCTTTTCTCATCATACTTGTACCACACTCTTTATAGCTTACATATTTCTGTTTATTATGTAGTTTACTCGCTACTCGGTAGCAACTCGGTCAAGGGCCGAGTAGCGAGTAGGACCTATTACTCGGGATTACTCGGTGATTACTCGGCCTTGTATTAATTAAATATAATAGTATCGGTGCCCGAAATTATAGAAATATAGTAGTCTTAAAATAGTCTTTAAATTGTCTTAAAATGCATAGAAGTGAATAAAAGGATAGAAATCCTATTATCCTAATGATGGAGTAGCAAAAGTCATAAAGCAAAACTGCAAAAGTGATAAAGCAGTCAATCATCTAATAAGTTGGTCTGATATTAATCTTCATTGGGTTCAAGGTCGTGATTTTCTTCTTCATCCTCCATGGCTCCATGTCCCCAAATAGATCTTCACCAAATACATCTTCGGTAGTCAGATACCCCACTTGTTCTTCCTCTTCCACTTCCGGGTCATCTAAATCAATATCAAGCCGTCTATACGCAGACTGTGATGCATTCACATTCTCACAGTCTATACGTAGTATAAAAGGAACTTGGCTAAGAAACTTAGTAGCTTGGAATTCAATGGTCAACAATTGCGGCTGCAGCAGTTTGAATAATCCCATGATTGATTTATTTTTTTTAACAAGAGGAAGAAGAAACGAGGGAAAGAATTACCCGTTGATGTCACAATCGCAGCTCCTCGCAGTAACCCTGTAGCACTCGCAGGTGATCCCCAACAGCACTGTAGCAGTCGCAACTCGTAGCGGTTGGAGCTCCTGGCAGTAGCAGTCACACCTCCAAACGATGTAGCAGCAGTAGTCGAAGCCCCAAATGATGACCGATTAAATTTTTAGGTTTTGTGCGCAGTTTTTTTATATATCGAGTAATAGCGAGTAACTCGCCAATTTGACCAACTCACCGAGTTGACTAACTCGCTGAGTACTCGGCGAGTAACTCGGAAAATTAACTCGGGCCGAGTTAAGGTGCTACTCTGCAAGGTAAGAGGCCGAGTAGAGAGTACTCGCCGAGTACTCGTTGAGTATTCGCCGAGTAAATAACCCCAGCTGTTTAATGACACCATTGATGGCCTATGCTACCAGGTCACGGCTCTCTATATTGAAACTATTCTTTTGATTCACCTAAAAACTCTTTGTTTAGTATTACTTCACAGTTGCAATTTTTTATTTCCATCCAAGTAACATCTGCATCATCTTCTATTGCCGAGTTAGCTCCCCTCAACTAGCTTGTTAACATATGGCTTCGTTTCCTTGCTATTAGAGTCTTTAATTTATATTTCTATTCCTTAATCCTTATCTTATTACTTATGAGAATGATGAGACCAAAATAGATTATCTTTTAGAGGGGAGTGGGGGGTAAATTTTAGGATATTATCAGCGGGGCTCTGCTTGGGGCCACAATAGGTCGCCTTTTGTCCCTCGGATAATCCATTCATGTTCTTTTGGAGTTTTCTTAGAGCTCTTTAACTTCTAGTGCCTGTCTTATCCTTTTTCTTTATTCAATAAAAATATCATTTTCAATGCTTGTTACTCTATCACTACTTCAAGTTGTCTAAAAGATCCACACAAAGATGGTCTTTCCTTTTATCTACCTATTTACACAAATTGCAGATATCCCAGTTGAATCCCTCACGCCCACCCTCTCCTGTTCTCATGATACACTGATAGATTGGGAGAACAGATATGAATTTCATATGGCTAGCAATTGACCAGCCTGGGATGGAAAGTTTCTTAAACATTGACTTACATGGTCTTGATTCAGTTTCAATGTAAAGTTTTAAAACACAAGTACTACAACAGATATGTATGGTATTGGATTGCATAAGTAGCTTTGCGTTGTTTGTTTGTTGGACCAAAAAGTGATACTTTATTTCTTTTACTGATGGTAACACAGCTTAATGAAGCAGAGAGGAGACTAGATGAGACACAAGTGAAGCTGGGTCGCCTTCGTGGCCATGACAGTAGTACAACATCGAAGAGTTCTTATGACAATGGCTTGAAGGATGTAAAATCCAATCGGAGATCCTCGAGTCCTGCCTCCTGTAGTGAAGATACTAAAAACCTTGTTGAGAATAAACCACAAGAGAAGGGTATTTCACTCAGACCTTTAGAGCAAAAATCAGCTGGAAACCAACCTCAGAGTAAACCACAGCTTGTAATTCCTACTTTGAAACCAAAAGCTTATCAACCAACTAAGATGGTAAAGTCTGAACCTAAAATTGTTGCTAGTAGTCCTGGTTCTTTTTCTGGTGAGCCAGCATTTCCTCACAGTTATAGTATGACAAAGATAAAGGCAGGAAAAAATATGAGGAAATCTTCTGAGAAGGAAGCGGTTGATGCTCAAAGTAGAGGCATAAAAAGAAAATTTGGTATTTTTTTTATTTCTGTTTATATAATTTCAATGTATATATTTTCAATGTGTTTGGCGAATTTCTTGTAAAAAATTGGAAACTCTGTCAATTAGGTGTAATTTACTAAATTGAGATGTTTTAATTGTCGTGCTCATTTTCTTAGTGCAGAGCAGAAAGAACAGAAAGATCTGGTTTCTATAATTCGCACATACTCTTCACCCAACACTATCCGGTGTCATACATGCTCTAATATCTCAAGTCAACATAAAAGAAAGCTCAGAAGTCTTGTGCTATGCCCAACGAGTGAGCAACTGTTTGCCACGAGGTAGTTTACCTTGCTTGAGTTTAAATGAAAAGGTCATTAATTTTGATTTCTAGAGCTTGTTCTTAACTTGGAGTGCTTTAAGAATTAAGATTAGATACAATTGCGCTAATTGAAGTAATATGACTTTAAGTAAGTTCATTCTGTATGAAAAGTAGTGTATCTTCTCTTTACCTGAAGCATTTTTGTGTTCTTATATTGTGTATATATATTGGTTGTGACTTTTTCTAGTAGTATTTCAAAAAAAAACTTCTTAATGTTAAGTTCTATACTTTCACGTTCTCTCTTACATGCAATGGCATGTAAAAAAAATCCTGGCCCGCAACGACCTGCCCTTTTCTTAATTTTTGACACTTTGTTTTGTATTATGACTGACTTTTATTACAAGTGTTTTTCTAATGATTTGGAAGTAAACATTATGTACATTCAAGGTATACATGTATAATGACTTCATTCATGCAAATTGAGATGCATACTACGGTTAGATTATGACGGGGCAGGGTGGACTGCCCCGCATGTGGCGGGGTGGACCCGTCCCACATGTGGTGGGTCATGAGCCAACTTATAATTACCCATGCGGGTCACGGGGAGGGGCGGGTCCATTTAATAAAGTCACAGGGCGGATCCGGGTCTTGCACTACCCGCCCCGAGCCCCCAACCCATTGCCATCCCTATCCTAGCAGTAAGTATTTTGTTATTTTGTTGGATTTTTCACTGATTTTATAAAATGTTACTACGTAGAATTTTTGTGATGTATAGATTCAAATTGGTTTTCATGTTCCCACCATGATTGCTATTATTAATTCAATATCTTACTTAAAATTGCAGCGCACTGGATGGACTTGTCAACTTGTGGCAGATTCAGAGAGAGTATGTTAAACTCGTCTATAGATGCTATAGAGTATAGAATAAAATTTCCGAGTGATGAGAAAAGATACTATGATATATAGAGACTGGAAAACTAGTTAAAGTATATTCTGTGGAAAAGAAGACTGTAGAGCCTAGTTCCATAGCCTTATTTAGGTAAATCTAAAAGTATTATTGACCAACATAAAACTTGTTGCATATTTATCACATATATTCTTTCTCACAATCGGAACTTCAGTTCATATATGCTTGGTAATACTGTTTTCACCGAACCCTCCTTACCTCCTAACAAACTATTGGCATCCCTAATCAAAATTGGTTATATGTTCTCATTATATCTTTACTTGTATTACCCCTATCCAGATCAACTGCCAATCTTCTGAGTACTACTGATTGCTTTTCACCAAAACAAAGGAGATGGCCAGAAGATATAGCCTGGCACCCTGATGGGGGTGCTATATTTTCAGCTTATGGTGCCGATAAAGGCGAAACCCAGATTTCAATTCTTAATTTGAACAAAACGAAAGAGGTAGTGTGAGTAGTGGTTGTATTATCTTATGATATGAATCTTACAATTGTAAAACAAAGCAGTATGAATATGCATGCGTGCAATTGTTTTCAATGATTACTCGAAATTTTTCATTGGTTAAGGAGTATTAAATAGTGATGCATTTATCTAGAATATTCTATGTAGAAAAGGCTAGAGATGATCTAGAGAGTTAAAGGTAGAAAGTATTCTAGAAAATTCTCTACTAGAGAATTCTTATGTAAAATCTAGAGTAATTAGACATAGATGTAGAATACTCTAGAATCATAGCATTTAATAAGGATCTAGAATGATCCTCTAGCTCCTATAAATAGGACTCATTGTACTCATTTTCAAACCAAGCAAAACCAAGAAACATCAATACAATACTACTTTTCTAGAGACAAGAGCTCTCCTCTAAAACACATCATCTACATTACACCTCACTAAAATCACTTATTCTATTCATACAACCAACAACCTCTTCTATTTTCTAACAAGTGGTATCAGAGCTTGTTCGATCATAAGCGGGCATTATGACGACATCAAGCTTCTCGGTTTCAACTCCGATGTTCAATGGAGAAAGCTATGACTATTGGAGTGTCCGTATGAAGACTTGCCTAGAATCACATGATCTCTGGGATATTGTTGAAGAAGGAATCATCATGCCGGAAAAAGGAAGCGACGACGCATCAACTTCTGAGGTACGTAAGAAACAAAAACAGCAAAATGCTAGAGCTCTCTATCTTCTTCAACAATCCGTTTGTGATACTATTTTCCCGAGAATAATTCGTGCTACTACGGCAAAAGAAGCTTGGGATATTCTTAAGGAGGAATTTCAAGGAAATGAGAAAGTTAGAACTATTAAATTACAAAGTTTAAGAAGAGAGCTCGAAAATTTAAAGATGAGAGATTCTGAAATGGCAAAAGATTATTTCTCTCGGGTTATACATATAGTCAACGAAATGAGAACTCTTGGAGAAAACATAACCGACGAGAGAATAATCCAGAAAGTCCTAATCAGTCTCCCTGAAAAATATGATCCAGTAGTTTCGGCTATTGAGGAGTCAAAAGATCTATCAAAAATGTCCATCACTGAATTAATGGGGTCGCTAGAAGCACGTGAGCAAAGGCTGAACAGACGACACGAAAGTTCATTAGAAAGTGCCTTCCAGTCTAAGCTCAACATTAAAAGGAATCACTCGAGAAATGGTGAAAACTTTAAACCACATAAAGATGGGAACTCTAACAATAAGGAGAGGAAGACGAACTTTCCACCATGCAAAATATGCAAGAAGACTAATCACTTAGAGAAAGATTGCTACCATCGAGGAAAGGCACAATGCAGAAATTGCAAGAGGTTCGGGCATGAAGAAAAAGATTGCAGAGATAGAAGAAACTATCAGGCCAACTATTCTGAAGATTTTAAGGAGAAGGAGTACATGTTCTACGCATGTCACTCAGCCATAGAAGCAAAAGAAGAGGAGTGGTACATCGATAGTGGGTGCAGCAATCACATGACATCCAACGAGACCATCTTCCATGACTTAGACACCTCTATCAAGACAAAGGTCAAGATGGGCAATGGCGATTTGGTGGAGGCAAAGGGGAAAGGTACCATTGTCATAGATACAAAGAAAGGTACGCGCTTTATTAGAAACGTTCTCCTAGTGCCACGCCTTGCACAAAATCTACTAAGTGTTGGCCAAATGATGGAAAGTGGATATGCCTTGCACTTTGAGAAAAATTCTTGCCGAATTTATGACAAGAATAATAATCAAGAAATTGCTGAAGTAAAAATGGGAAATAATAGAAATTTTCCTATTCAATGGCAATATCCACAAAAGGCGATGGTGGCTCAACTGAGTGATACGAGTCTATGGCATCGAAGATTTGGGCACTTCAATCTCAATGCCTTGAGATTACTACACCTAAAGAAGATGATGAGAGACATGCCTCTACTGGATGAAAAAGAAGGAGTATGTGAAGGATGTATGGTTGGGAAGCAGCACAGGCAACCATTTCCAACAGAAAAGACATGGAGAGCCAAACAGATACTAGAGCTTGTCCACACCGATGTTTGCGGTCCAATGCGCACGCCTTCAGTTTCGAAGAACAGGTACTTCATACTCTTCATCGATGATTACTCTAGGATGACATGGGTGTATTTTTTCCAAGAAAAATCCGAAGTCTTTAGAATATTCAAGAGATTCAAGAACTTCGTGGAGAAACAGAGTGGTCATCAAATCAAGAAGTTGAGAAGCGATCGAGGTACCGAATACAACTCAAAAGAATTTGACAAGTTCTGTGAAGATGAAGGTGTAGAGCATCAACTAACAGTAGCATACACTCCACAACAAAATGGGGTATCCGAAAGGAAGAACCGCACAGTCATGGAGATGGCAAGGTCTATGTTAGCTGAAAAAGGAATGCCTAAAACGTTCTGGGCAGAGGCAGTATATACTTCAGTCTATCTTCTAAACCGGTGTCCAACTAAGGCGGTTTTAAACAAAACACCTATTGAGGCATGGTCTGGACAAAAGCCTTCAGCCAAACATTTGAAGGTCTTCGGAAGCATATGCTACATTCATGTTCCCTCTGTTAAAAGGCACAAATTAGAAGACAAGACAGAGAAGGGCATCTTCCTTGGCTATAGCTTCAAATCCAAGGGATATCGAATCTACAATCTCGAGACAAAGAAGTTGGTGACAAGTCGAGATGTGGAGTTTGACGAGCAAGCCTCTTGGAATTGGGAGACAGAAAAAGTTGAAAGAAAGACAACTACTGTCCAACTAGAGGAAATACCAGAAGAGGAAAATCACGATCAACAAAGCCCCACGTCTACTCCAAGATCCTCTTTTGAAGCTAATACATCAAGAAATCACGACTCCTCACCAGAGTCCCCACCTCTTCGGGTAAGAACTCTAGCAGACCTATATGAGTCTACTGACATCTATGAAACATGCAACTTTTGCTCCTTGGAGCCATATAGCTACACCGAAGCCTCCAAAGAAAAAAATTGGATTAAAGCAATGGAGGAGGAGATCAAAATGATAGAAAAGAATGATACTTGGGAAATGGTAGATCTTCCACATAACAAGGAGGTTATTGGAGTCAAATGGGTGTATAAAACAAAACTGAACCCCGATGGCTCAATTCAGAAGCATAAGGCAAGGCTGGTTGCAAAGGGCTATGCTCAAATACCGGGAGTTGACTACACAGAGACGTTTGCACCAGTTGCCCGGATGGACACAATAAGAACACTCATAGCTCTTTCTGCTCAGAAGAAATGGAAAATTTATCAGCTAGACGTCAAGTCAGCCTTTCTAAATGGAGAGCTACGAGAAGAAGTGTATGTGGAGCAACCAGAAGGATTCATCAAAGAAGAAGGAAAAGTTCTTCGTCTAAAGAAAGCGCTTTACGGGCTCAAACAAGCTCCACGAGCGTGGTATAGCAAGATTAATGGATACTTCACCCGTCAAGGGTTCAGGAGGAGTAAGAACGAGGCTACACTATACATCAAATCCCAAGGTAAATCTGACATTCTCATCGTCTCTCTATATGTTGATGACTTAATTGTCACGGGAAATAATTCCAAATTAATTGAAGAATTTAAGAGAGACATGATGAACACTTTTGAGATGAGTGACTTGGGATTAATGCACTACTTCCTTGGCATGGAGATAAGTCAAGAAGAAGAAGGCATATTCTTATCTCAAGAAAAATATATTAAGGACATGCTAAAGAAGTTTAAAATGCAAGACTGCAAAGCCGTCGTTACTCCACTGGTTCCTAATGAAAAATTGAAGAAAGAAGATGGGTCAAAGCAGACGGACGCAACCAATTACCGAAGTTTGATTGGGAGTCTACTCTACTTAACGGCTACGAGGCCGGACATCATGTATGCTACAAGTTTGCTCTCGAGGTTCATGGAAAGTCCAACTGAGACTCATTATGGAGCGGCAAAGAGACTCCTTAGGTATCTACAAGGAACCATCAATTATGGTATTTGGTACAAAACAACTCCTGACTCACGACTAACTGGATATAGCGACAGTGATTGGGCTGGATCTCAAGATGACATGAAAAGCACCTCCGGTTACGCATTTAAGCTGGGTTCGGGAATTTTCTCATGGGGATCAAAGAAGCAAGATTCTGTTGCACTATCTTCAGCCGAAGCCGAGTATGTTGCAGCAGCCGGAGCAGCGTGCCAAGCTATATGGCTAAAAAGAATATTAGAAGACATGGGAGAATTGCAAAGTTCTGCGACTCAAATATTTTGCGACAACAAGTCAGCTATTGCGATGGCTAAAAATCCAATTCAGCACAATCGTACTAAGCACATCGATATCAAGTATCACTTCTTGAGAGATGTCCAAGCAAAGGGGCATATTGAGATGAAGTACTGCCCAACAGAAGAACAATTGGCAGATATTTTCACGAAGGCCCTGCCAAGAGACAGATTCCAGTTTCTGCGAAGAATGCTTGGAGTCACCGACAAATGCATCAAGGAGGAGTATTAAATAGTGATGCATTTATCTAGAATATTCTATGTAGAAAAGGCTAGAGATGATCTAGAGAGTTAAAGGTAGAAAGTATTCTAGAAAATTCTCTACTAGAGAATTCTTATGTAAAATCTAGAGTAATTAGACATAGATGTAGAATACTCTAGAATCATAGCATTTAATAAGGATCTAGAATGATCCTCTAGCTCCTATAAATAGGACTCATTGTACTCATTTTCAAACCAAGCAAAACCAAGAAACATCAATACAATACTACTTTTCTAGAGACAAGAGCTCTCCTCTAAAACACATCATCTACATTACACCTCACTAAAATCACTTATTCTATTCATACAACCAACAACCTCTTCTATTTTCTAACAAGGAGTAAAGGACATTAACCCCTTTCACAAACACATACACTTCGTGAAACAGAGCATATAGAAACTTAAAACAGAATGTCCAGGCAATAAATTTTAGTGGTGGCTGTATTTACATGTTCAGTCCACTTCCCTCGCTGTTGAGGATGGATAAAGCAGCGGTATCACTATCTCACTCATTTGACGTTGAAGATGATAGATATCTTGAGTCAAATCAAGTAATAAATATTTTACTTGCTTATGGCCCATAATTTTTGCCCCCAAAATCTTTTGGGAATAAGGCTCCGATGTTGTTGTTTATGTCTCATAATTTTCCCCAAACTCTTGTAGGATTAAGGTTTGAACAATGTTGTTATATTTCCCATAATTTGTGTAATAGTGCCCGAAATTTAATTGGTGTCTGATGACCCTAATACTTTAACAAGTGCATCTCTACATATAGTCATAAATGGTGAATTGGAATCCTAGTATAAGTTACTAATCGTATATGCCGATGCTTTAATAGAATCGCATTAGTTTCTTGGAAGCAAAGCCACATGTTAAAGGCATCATCAACAGCATAGTGTTCATGCCGTGGGAAGATATCTGCTTTGTTACTGGTGGTAGTGATCATGCTGTATTCTGTTGGACTGAGATAGAAGAGGAAAAGTTGTGGAAGCATAAAGCATTGCATAGAACTGAGCATACGTCATCTGTAACAGGAGTCGCTGGTATGCAGCATAAGAAAATTGTGATGTCTGTTGGAGCTGACAAGAGGATCATTGGATATGACATGCAAGCTGGAAGAGCTGGCTATATCCATCAAATTGATAGCAAGTGCATGAGTATTTTGCCCAATCCATGCGACTTCAACCTCTTTTTGGTTCAGGCTGGGTATATCACTATCGCAATATCATTATTCTTTTGTGTACTTATTTCTTCAAACTATGGGTGTGGGTGTGGGTGTGAGGACATTGAGAAGAATGTGAAGAACTAACTGGTTGGTTGGAAGTGAATACAGTCACAGTGCCATTTGGCATTTTCTGTATTCTATTTTCTCTTTCAAGCTTTTTGGAAACAGAAGCACTGGAATTTATTTGACTGATTATTTTCCTTGGTTTTCCAAAACAAAAATAGAAATTCGGATATTTATGGAAACAAGAATGGGAATTTTTCATTGGTTTTTTGTGACAATATTATTTCACTGAAGAAGCATGCTTCTGATATTGACCATATTCTTGAAACATTTAGAATTTTGTAAAAAGAATCATGTAGTTTCAAAATAAACAATAATATAATCCTCTATATAAATCATGTTTACGAAACAGTCTCGCAAACATGCTTAAGTAAAGTGTTTGAAAACTGAGCAAAAGAAAAACAAAAACAATCAAAATTAAAAACAAACAAATTATAAAATAAAATAGGAAATGTCACCAAACTAATTACCATTTTCCCCTAGATATGCTTTTGTTTCCAGATCTGTGGTTCATGGATTTGTGTTGTACATACTCCACAATTATGGTATCTCCACTGATAAGGAATCCTCAAATTCATATATCCATTGCAGGACATTAGAGAAGCAGCTTCGACTGTTTGATATCAGAGCAAAGCAAAGAGAGGTCCATGCATTTGGGTGGAAGCAAGAAAGCAGTGATTCACAATCAGCTCTCATAAATCAGGATTGGTCTCCTGATGGTTTGTACATCACATCCGGATCGGTTGATCCTGTCATCCACATATTCGACATAAGGTACAACTCTCACAAACCTTCACAGTCCATAAAGGCCCATCAGAAGCGTGTCTTTAAAGCTGTTTGGCACCACACTCTCCCACTCCTAATATCCATCTCATCCGATCTGAACATCGGATTACACAAGGTCATCTGAGTTGCTGTGAAAAAATCATCTCTTTGTAGTCTGCCCAACGCTTTCAATTTGCAAATTGTATCCATGAATTCTCTAATCGGAAAAACCACACACACATCAAAGTAGATGATCACTGACTTAATACTGAAAGTACTCCTTTTCCTCCACATGATGGAGCTCTTCCCAACGCGTTTAATGCGCTAGCACTGAGCTCCACCCCTCAGCTGAACATGTGTAACTTTGGCTCTTTTGTATGGCTACAAGTTGAAGTTAACTAAGTATGTACACACTTTCGTTGTCATTTTCGTTTTCATGTGTGTTTGTGGACGTTTTCATAGTATTGAAAAGTTAAAAGCTTACTATGCGAAGTCAATTCATTATCTCAAATTAGTCAGCACTACAGATTATGCAAAAAGATAGACATAGACGTAGTATATTATACAGGTTGTTTATGTTGCTAGATAATTAACTTTTTAATTGAAATTTCAAAATCGTACTCCATAGATTAAAATCACTTTCAGAAATTATTGCCAGTCGCCGATGAGGTAGGATGGCTCCAGTAGTTCTATGTCATTTCAAGAATATTAATACAAGAGTTTTTGCCACATAATGTCCATCTGACTACTTTGTCCATGTATAAACTTTCGGTACTCGTCTTTTTACAATAGGTATAGAATCATAAGTGTCAATATGAGTTTTTGACAATGACCAAAAGTTCAACTTTCATAATAGTAAGAGAATCTAAAGTTACATTGATGAAAATAATCTTTGAGTGTTTCTATATTAAATCTGTATTTAAAAGTTACATTGTACTGGCATGTGCGCGCACATGACATGTGTTTATATGAGAGCTTGCGAATGTTATTAAGTTATAATAATGTTTTGAAAGGGTTATGTATTTTTTGTTCATTTAGTTATGATTTTGCCCGTAAGTAGTAGGGTGGATCACCCTCAAGACAGAAATTTCTAGATCCAGTTCAAAGTTTCAAACTCTAAATCAGTAACAATACAAGCTTTGGACCAAGTCCGACCAACATTGTATCCAATTTAAAAAATGAATCAACGTACCCACCCGCACGGGTAGCTTAGTTGTTCGAGTGGTGGGAGATTTGGATCAATGGACCAATGTTCGAATTCCCGCAGCGACCAGGTGGAGGTTTAGAACTTGAAATAAGGTTGGGTCTCTGGTGCGCATGGGTGTATGGACTTACTGTCATTATGCTGATTAAGTTACCGTGACTAACCTTCTCACCATCCTGTTAGGTCAGGGTGGGGGCTCCTGGGGTGGAAGATTCCACCTTTTGGATCAATAAAAAATGAATCAACGAAAGTCGGTATTGGAAGTTAATACAAATCCTTATCATGGTGGCTGTAACTTAAGTGTGTATATGTGTGTGTAAAATAGAAAGAGTAATGCACAATCAAACACTGTACTCCTTATAATAAGATTTTTAAATATATGTCTAAACTCACAAAGTCATAGAGTTTGTATACTTGTATATAGGGCTGGGAAAAAAAATCCTGAAATTTTGTTAAACCGCATTTACCATATCGATAAATGCTGAATCTGTCGAAAATTTAGGTATACTAACATTTTTGGTATGCTATCGGTATGTTTTGAAAATACTGATTTTATATTCATGTTGTTTGCATAATCTCATTTTTTTGTTAGAGATTACTATTGATTTAATTATATCTATATTGTTTAAGTTATTTGACGAGAATGTGTTATTTTTTAATGTGGCGTGTTAAACTATTTAAATGTACTAATAATAGTTACTTTTCAATTATGATTATGACAACAATAGATTATTATTTGTATTTTGTAACATTTTAATAATGAATCAAGTATGTTGCTAGTTAACACCAATTTTGTATATTTCGTTAGTCTATCATAATTTGTTGTATTGAGAGACATGCATGGTAATTTACCGATACCATACTGTTACTAAATCAAAAATTCGGTATACCGAAATACAATATATCGAAATTTCAGTAAGGTAACAATATATAAATTTTATATACTGAAAGTTTCGGTACGACAAAGATGAAAGAAAATATTTGATATACGTACTGTACCGAACCACCCCAATTGTATACGAATTAAATAATTTATGCTTGATTCATGTTTCGAATTCGAGCAAGACTATTCAAATTTGAAAAATTCAAATACTAATACAAATAAAAATAGTAAATTTGATTTGAATTGTTATCAAATAAGAATATCAACATATTCGATTTGAATGTTAATCAAATATATGCGATTAATGACAATTATAATAGCATAATAATATTAATAATTAATAGTAATAGTTGTAGTAGTAGTAGTAATAGACTAATAGTAATAACATTATAATAATTTTTAAAAGCTAGTTATACTCTTGATGTGTAGCACATATATACATTTATGTATACACATTCTAAATCCATTTATAATAAATTAGAAGTATCATACTATAAAGAGCAAGGGTTGTAAGCGAAACAATTTTTTTATTTTGTTCGTGATTTAGATTCAAAAACTATGATTTGAATTTGAAAATATAGAATGTGAATATGAATGCAAAATTAGATTTTCAGTTTGAACATCTTTCAAATATGAATACAAATAATTATGCATTCAATACAAAGAATAATCAAATATATTTCTTTATACATATGCAACATCAACTACCCAACATATGTGCTTGTGTATAAATTTGGGAAGTGTTCCCCGGCACTCCTCCACCTAGTATGGTTATTTCCGGGACAAAAAAAATCATACGAAGTATATTATATCTAATGATTTTTTCATTACCAACAATGTGAAATACCTAATACAAAATTAGTGTTGTTTTACTTTGATATAATTGTCAACTAATTCCACACATTATAGACATAATTTTTAATATGTTAGATTTATGTATATTGATCCTAAAATTGATTCATTTTCGTATATTGTTGACAAACTAAAACCACGTAAAAATGTAATGTTAAATTTTAAACAAAAATGTAATGTTACAAATTAAATTTAAAACAAATATTAGATCATAGCATGCATTTATAACCTTAAAAATATATAGGAAAAGTTGTTTTAAAGTGATATGATATTTGACTAATATTTAACTTAGATTTAAATATGTTTTTAGCCCCTGTAAATATGACATACTTTGTTGTAGATCCTTGCAAAATATTTTCTTTGTTCTTCATCCTTGAAATTATGTTGGTTTTATTTTTAGTCCATGACTAATGATAACAACTTTTGTTTGGCAACGAAACAACTCCAACTAATAGGGTTCTTCTAGTTCTTTGTCATGTCATTCAAAAAGTATTTAATTTCATTTTTAGAAGGTTTTTAGTTCATATTTTAAAAATGCAAATAATTATATTTATACGTAGTATTATTTTAACTCTCATATTAGCCTAAAAAATTATAAAATGATAATTTTAAATGTTTCTGATGGGTTTATGCAACCGATAAAAAGAATTCAAGTAGAGCTATTTCGGAGTTAGAGATGGATTAAAACCAAAATAGAGCATATTGCAAGGATGAAAAACAATGAAAATATTTTTCAAGGACCTACTTAAAAAAGTGTGCCGTATTTACAGGGACTAAAACCATATTTAGACCTTTAACTTATGATTAATCGATTCGATATTCGTGTATGATTTGTTAACTATTTGCATCGTTAAAAGAATACGAACTCAAATCAAAATAAATATCCGTTTCATATTCTAATTCGTATTTGAAAAAATTAATTAAATATGAATATCACAATGTTCATTTACACTATTTGTATTCGTTTACGAATACACATTGTTGAAACACATTTAAATATTTTATAATGACATTTACATAGAAATATAGCATAATTAAGTTACACAAAAGCATATGCACAAACACTATTACACACGAAGTTACACAAAACTTACCCGTATTTACACCGTTCTTGGTACAAAGAAGTTGCATTTCAACGGTACTTTGATCTCGCGATATGACACCTAGGCTAATAAATAGTGGTAGTCGGAGTTGTTGGAGGGTGTAGCAAAAAATAAATGAAAGGAGTACACAATTACCCAAAATGGTGAGAAAGTGATTTGTTAAGGACGAGGTTGCGGTGATTTAGACTTTAACGTGCCCATGTTTCGTTTTCGTGCCTCAGTGGACAGTGGTTGATCTCTTGTTGCGGCAGGAGAATTATCGGCTGATTTTTCAGCGGACAAACACTAAGCTAGTAAGCTACTACGGATAAGATGAAATCAAGAAATCATCGTTCTAAAACTCGCTAGGCGTTAGTCGAGTAGTTGAAGGACGCCCAACGCCTAGGCGACTGACTAGGCTAATTTTTTGGCCGACTAGGGTGACTAGACCTATACAGTTAGGGATGACTAGGCCAATTTTTAGAACCGTGGATGGAATGGTTTCCAACCGCGACAGAACTTGGTTTCCTAGAAGTTGGTACCAACTTTTTTTTGACAGATCGATTCGAGGAAAGAGTCGAGAGTTTAGCTAGTTCGGAGAATTTGTTATCAAGGCGGGTTTCACATGCGGAAGATTCTTCTTGTGTGGACAAAAGTAATGGCACATAAGGGCTTTTTTGAGGATAAATAATATGGAAGATTCGGAGCAAGCATGTGATCGGTTTTCAATAATGGAAGAAGATCAGATGTGATGATTGTGAATTCTTCTCAATATGTGACATAGGTGTTCATTCATCAATTGTGTGGTACTGATGACCCTCCCCCTCTTGAACCACCCCATGAAGTGAACGGGTTGCTCGAGTTTGGAAGGTGGCATTTCAAGTTGAAGTTTGGCAACATGTGATTTTTTGCTATAATTTCATACCAAGTTTTATACTTCTTATTTATTTTGTTAGACAATTTCTCTCATTTTTGAATTGTGTTTGTTTGTATCAGTCTTGTTATGTTTAGTTTTACTAAGGTTGGAGGTATTGAGACTTCTAATGGTGATAATTGCTTTGCAGTTCACACATGTTCATTAAAAAGTTTTGATGCAGGCCAACTATGCTATGCTAGATCCAAGAGTAAGAGGACATTTTGATTATTACGAGTCTAGTGGGAGAGTAAGGTTGAGTTGTGAATTTGATGTAAGATTAAGATGATCAGAAAGATTCAGATCAGATCAGAAAGATTCAGATCAGATCAGAAAGATTCAGATCAGATCAGAAAGATTCAGATCAGATCAGAAAGATTCAAATCAGATCAGAAAGATTCAGATCAGATCAGAAAGATTCAGACCATATCAGAAAGATTCAGATCAGATCAGAAAAATTTAGATTAGATCAGAACTTAAAAAATTCATATCATAAATATCCAGATCAAGTGAAG